ACTTATAGCTGGTCTGATATCGTTGCAAATGTTCCTTTGACCATTTTTTCCGAAATCTATTCAACATTTGCCTCAGCAACTGCTAACGTGATAAGCGAGACATTTTGAGATGCTCCAATGAAGGTTCAGGTATGACAGTTAGTGAACCATCTACAAGAAAGTGACCAGGTGTCAGAACTTCTAGATCAGTTGGAACTTCAGTAAGGCCACTGAGGGATCGTGAATTGAGAACAGCTTCTATTTGAATGAATATGGTACTCAATTCTTCGTAAGTGAGTAAATGATCGCCGACAACTGGGCGTAAATGAATCTTCACCGATTTAACCCCTGCTTCCCACTTTCCTCCAAAATGAGGGGCTGCGGGAGGATTGTAAATCCATTAAGTGCCATCTTTTGCTAAAGGTGAAGAAATAACTCCGAGTTTTTTAGATGATGATGAAAAAAGCTGTTTCAGCTGGGAATTGGCTCCTTTCAAATTCGTACCACAATCACTGCGTAATGTTGCACAAATGCCACGTCTAGCAGTAAATCTCTTATAAGCTGCTATAAAGGCTTCTGCTGTATAGTCAGTAACTATTTATAAATGAATAGCTGAACTTACTTCACATACGAATAATACAGGGTAAACTTTATAAGTCTTAGATGATCGTCCTTTCCAGCTTTTGATTGAAAAAAGGCCCAGCGTAATCGGTGCCAGAATGAAGAAAAGCACGTGATGGTATAACTTGGGTAGAGGACAATTGTCCCATTAATTGCTCTGATCTTTTCTATCTAGAACATGTCACACACTTCCCTATGAACGACTTATTTGGCGTTCTTCCTCCTAAAATCCAAAATTCATGTTTTATATAAACCAATGTTACTTGCACACCACCATAAAGTGTACGTTGATGTGCATCATCGATGACGAGATGTTTAAAGTGCGTCGCTTTTCGCACATGCACTCACTCTAGCGCCCTCTAACCAAGTCCCCAATCAGACCGTTATCAATTTTAATATCTCACGAAAAATATCAGCGTGCTTTTACAGATTTGGCAAATCCTAGTTTGGTTGCAAACACTGCAGAAACCATTGAGGAATTTGTATGTGAAATGTATGCAACCAAAAAAAATAAGTTAAAAAAGATTCGAAAAGTAAATGAAGCGCGATCTCGGATATTTACGCAAAATTATGGTATGATTGATGATATGGAGAAATTTAAGAAGAAAGTTGTATCGTTCGATGCATCTAATTTGCCACCATGCTTAAGAGAATTAGAACAAAAAATTTTAAGAACGGCATACATATCAAATGTATGGATAAATGCCTATAAAAACGTTCCATCAACATTAGATCCAACCGATTATGAATGGAGTTTAGGGAGTATACGTTGAAATGGTTTGAAGGCCCCGAAACCCCGGAGAATATTAAGGACATTATAATACCATCTGAAATTCCGCAAGGTAATAACAAATTATTAAATCTCAATATTAATTAAAACTATCTTAAAAAATACAGAAAATAGTAAGAAATACTGTTTTAAGTCTAACTAATTAAAATTAAGTGAAACTTACTGAAAAAGAACATGAGTTGCCGTTTGAAGGATTGATTATGATATTCGAAAAATTGTTTAGATTCTACAGAAAGCGACGAGGATTGCGAGATTTCTGACCATGAAAATAATGATGATGATAATGATGAAGAAAGTGAAGTTATATGTAGATCGCGACAGTAATAAACCCTCTGAAGAAACAGAATCAGATGAAAGTATTGAGTTCTCATTGTTTTGTTACTTTCTATTGAATAAAATTGTTATATTTCTTAGTTTCAACGATTTATTCTTATTTATTTCAACTTTAAGAAAACAATCTTTTAGAATGATATTGACGCTTGTACCTTCACAAATCGTCTGCCACTCGATATTTTGTCTATTTAATAACTAAGTATTGCAAGGACAAAGAGGCAGACTGTAAAAAATTGCCAAAAATTAATATTTTTTTTTGCAAATTAGAAATAGTTTTGCACTATCATGTATACGTTATATTCGTCTGCCATTTTCTTTATTCAACATTTTGAATTGTTAATTTTATACTCACACAAGTTTTAAACTGTAAAAAATTGCTCCGAGTTATTGTAAAAAATGTGTTAATACACTAGTGCGTCTGACACATTTATACATCTGCGAACAGTCTGCTTTGTGAAATTTCGTCAACTTTACGCTAACATTATCCTAAATTGTGCTTAGCAGACTGTAAAAAATTGTTCCTAGTTACACGATTTAATTGCTAACTAACATAAGTACGCTTTATTCTTGTACTGGAGAAAACCATCTGCCAATAAACTTTTCATGGATTGCGCAATCTTGCCTTGTGCTCAAATAAATGGCAGACTGTAAAAAGTTGTATCAAGAAACTACTTTCTTTTTGCTAACTAAAGTTAATGTTTAAGTATGCATTAACACGTAACGAAGATTTTTAAGTACATCTATCTACAGCTTGTGGCTGTAAATATTTCCCCTATCAATCGCAGACTGTAAAAAATTGTTCCATTTTTTGTGTTACAAGCGCCCGGACTAAAACTGATTTTAGCAATGGGACGCTTAAGCGGAGAATACTGAGTTTTTGCAGTAACCACACGAAGTTGTCCGTCTTTGCTTGGATGTATTTCTACGATTCTACCCAAAGGCCATTTTGCTGGTGAGTATCTCTCATCGATTACTAGAACAAGTAATCCTTTTTTAATAAATGAATTAGCTTGAGTCCACTTATAGCTGGTCTGATATCGTTGCAAATGTTCCTTTGACCATTTTTTCCGAAATCTATTCAACATTTGCCTCAGCAACTGCTAACGTGATAAGCGAGACATTTTGAGATGCTCCAATGAAGGTTCAGGTATGACAGTTAGTGAACCATCTACAAGAAAGTGACCAGGTGTCAGAACTTCTAGATCAGTTGGAACTTCAGTAAGGCCACTGAGGGATCGTGAATTGAGAACAGCTTCTATTTGAATGAATATGGTACTCAATTCTTCGTAAGTGAGTAAATGATCGCCGACAACTGGGCGTAAATGAATCTTCACCGATTTAACCCCTGCTTCCCACTTTCCTCCAAAATGAGGGGCTGCGGGAGGATTGTAAATCCATTAAGTGCCATCTTTTGCTAAAGGTGAAGAAATAACTCCGAGTTTTTTAGATGATGATGAAAAAAGCTGTTTCAGCTGGGAATTGGCTCCTTTCAAATTCGTACCACAATCACTGCGTAATGTTGCACAAATGCCACGTCTAGCAGTAAATCTCTTATAAGCTGCTATAAAGGCTTCTGCTGTATAGTCAGTAACTATTTATAAATGAATAGCTGAACTTACTTCACATACGAATAATACAGGGTAAACTTTATAAGTCTTAGATGATCGTCCTTTCCAGCTTTTGATTGAAAAAAGGCCCAGCGTAATCGGTGCCAGAATGAAGAAAAGCACGTGATGGTATAACTTGGGTAGAGGACAATTGTCCCATTAATTGCTCTGATCTTTTCTATCTAGAACATGTCACACACTTCCCTATGAACGACTTATTTGGCGTTCTTCCTCCTAAAATCCAAAATTCATGTTTTATATAAACCAATGTTACTTGCACACCACCATAAAGTGTACGTTGATGTGCATCATCGATGACGAGATGTTTAAAGTGAGAATCTCTTGGCAAAATGTACGGATGTTTAGTACTATAAGATAACTGTGAAGCTTGTAGCCTTCCTGCTAATCGCAGCTAATGCTCGTTGTGAAGCATTGAATCACACGAATTTTTGTAGTAAAATCTTCAGTCACTCAAATTCAGCGAGGAAAGGATAACATATTTAAATCTTGCAATAAAATCAAAAAATTTGTTCCACTGATTAGATACCTGCTCTGGTAACGAATTATCCCAATCCAGTTTTAAAGACCAAAGTTCTTGCATGTAAATCTTTGCAGAGATAATTAATGATGTTATTAAACCAATCGGGTCAAAGAGTCGGGCGACTATTGACAATACAATACGTTTAGTTAGTTGCTCGGGCATTAAAACAGACCGAGAGAATGAAAACTTGTCTGAAGCTGATTTCCAACTCATTCCGAAAGCGTGAACAGTAGCAGCTTCATCTATTGGTACTGAAGATGGAAAAAGTTGATTATCTGTCGATACATTTTGTAAAACAGCCGAATTATTACTAGTCCATTTTTTAAGAGGAAAACCGCCCGCCAAGCACAATTCGTTTAATTGCCGTACTATAGTTTGAGCTTCTATGACAGTATTTGCTCATCCAAATACGTCATCCCCATATCTGCCTTTCTTTATAGCAGGTACAGCTAATGGAAATTTTGAACCTTCATCTTCAATCAGTTGTTTTAACTCACGAAGAGCTAGAAATGGCGCACACGCCATACCATACGTTACAGTGGTTAACTGAAAGCTAACGGTTTCGTTATCTATATTCCAGAGAATTCGTTTAAAATGTCAATCGTCAGGATGAACTTTAACTTGGCGAAACATCTTTTCTATATCAACTGAAAAAACATACATAAATATCCGAAACCATATTAGAACATCAAAAAGTTTTGTTTGAAGTTTTCTCCATTGTGAAGAACGTCATTGAGTGATACCCCTACAGAAGTAAGGCTTAATGCATTAAATACTACTCGAAGCTTGGTGGAAACACTACTTTCTCGTATGACTCCATGGTGAGGTAAATAATAAGAGTGTTTACTTTCATTAGACTTGTCGACAGGTAACATATGATTTAATGTTTCATAGTAACTTAGAAACATTGTATAAGCTTGTTGAAGAATTGAATCAGTTTGAAATTTCTTCAATAATGGAGACAACATGCGTAAGGCTTTAGCTTTAGAATCCCCCAATAGTTCTGTTGATTTTCTAAAAGGTAATCTAACGACGTAACGTCCTTCAGAATCGCGGAAGTGAGTGGATTTAAAATGGTCTTTACATTCTTGTTCTTCATTAGTTAAATTCGATTTTGAACTCGAGGATACTTCTTCCATTTTCCAAAATCGTTGAAGAATGTCATTCAACTCTTCATCGACTAATACATGAAAACTATGAATGTCAGACTCTAAGTGTGAGTCTTGTGACGGTCCAAACAATATCCACCCGAAAATAGTAGATTGAGCTGTGGGAGTATTTTTCGGGCCTCGACGTAGTTCATCTCGTTATATTTGACCATAATAATCAGCACCAATAATGATGTTAATAAAATTGGCCAAATGAAAATAGGGATCTGCAAGCTTCGTAGTATGTTCTGCAGATGTAACAATTTAAAGTCATTCTTGTTGAACGAAGGCATATTAGAGATAAGTTTTCGAAAAATATATGCCCTGATACTGAGTTCATCTGAAGATAGAAAATGAGGTATTAATTTTAAAGATACTACGCCTCGGGTCTTCCCAGCCTTTATAGCGCCAATGCTTATTAGTGATAGCTAAGATTTTTGTCTTGATAGTTTGAGATTTTGTACTAAACTTTCAGAAATTAATGAAACTTGGGATAATGGATCAAATAATACTTTTACTTGGATCTTTTCATTAGTACTTGAACAGGCTATAGTTTGAATGATATCTAACAAAACTGGATATTGTTGATTTAGAAGGATGACTCGATGCCCAGTTTGTTTTAGCTAACGTTGTGTCTGAAGTACTTTGCTGCGTGGAGCTTTCAACATGTTGAGATGAATTACTTTGATGAATTGAGCTATGATGTTTCTTTCCACATTTGGTACATCTTTTAGTAGAATGACATGCTGAAACTGATTCTCATTCGTGAAAGATGCAGAATCCTGACTTATGATTAAACAGAGATTATTCTCACCAACATTATACAATTATCCTCACCAACATTATACAGTCCACTAATTTGAACAACGGATCACAAATTAAATTTGCCGTTGTCTATTGTGTTTACAGGTCCCGCCGTTGAGGACAAGGCCGACGAATACAAAGGACTTAGCTGGATAAGGGGGTCAAATGTGCCCTTAAGCCGAATGAAGCGCCGTTTGCGCCATTCGATAGCATATCAAAAAAGAAACATTCACTCCAATTTTTAGCCCTATATCTCAACCAGGGGGGTAGTAATCGGGAAAATTCGAAAAATCAGTTTTTTGAGATATTTCCTTACTTAACGCCTTGCGAAAAATCAGAGAAAATTCTGACATATTCGTAGTGTAGCTG